CCGGAAACAAAACAACAATTAAAACAGTGGAGAAGACCCGGTTCACCACCCCTAAAAAGGCTAAGTCGATTTTGTCGGCAAATAAGGTGATGGCTTCAGTATTCTGGGACTCGAAAGGTGTGATTATGATTGATTATCTTGAAAGGGGTCAGACTATAAACTATGATTACTACTGCACCTTACTACGTCGTTTACGAGAGGAAATAAAAGAAAAACGTCGAGGAATGCTCAGAAGAAAAGTCCTGTTTCATCAAGATAACGCCCGTGTTCACACGTCAGTACAGTCAATGGCTGAAATTCACAACTGTGGCTTTGAACTGTTACCGCATCCGCCGTATTCACCTGATCTGGCACCATCAGACTTCTTTCTGTTCCCTAACCTAAAAAAGCACTTGGGAGGTCAAAGATTTTCGACAAACGACGAGGTCAAAGCAGCTGTAGACGCATATTTTGACTTTAAGGAAGAATCATTTTTTTTCAACGGTCTAAATGCTTGGAAGGGGAGGTGGCAAAAGTGTATTGAACTTGATGGTGATTATGTAGAAAAATAAAAATATAACTGATTTATTATGTGTTCATTTTCTTGGTTAGGCCGAGTACTTTTCAATCCACCCTCGTATCATCCCTTTCCTCCTTTTAAAAAAAAAGAATCGAACCACATACCTAGTAAGTATAGTATATACATAGTAAGTACCGAATCAATTTAATGATTCATCGATTTTGGGTTTTAATTAGAAATGACATGAAAGGCGATAAAAAATTAATCTACACCTACTACTACCACCAAACTAGTTGTCCTCGCGAGGATGGCGCGAAGTCACTGAGTGAAAATAACTGTTTTTATATTTTCAGGCGGACTGTATATCCTAAATAAATGCTAACGACGAAGTGAAGACGAAGAAAAAAAGAATGCAGCAGCTTGCGAAGCATGTAGTTCTATTAAACGAATTATACACAGTAAAAGTTACCAATCAATAGAACTCCTTGGAAGAACGTTTTCCTCCACTCAAAATAGTAGAGCAGCTTTTTGAGCTGGAGGATAAATTAGAATCCGGAATTCCGTAGCAAATATTTTAAAATCATGCCAACATTATGCTCTCCCGGATTAGGAACCAAAGGGGCCAATATTTGCTACAAGATAATTGATCTTTTTGATTGATAGAAACAAAAAATTTTTTCCGGAGAGTTTTTAACATTGGTATCTTGGAGTGGCAACTCTATGGACAAAAATGAAAAGATTGCATACAAATTTTTTACGCATATTCATCAGATTCTCTGTAATACAAAATGCTGACAGTACTGTAGGTCAGCTAGATAATGATAATTGTATAAAAGCAATAATAAAAAATTCTAAACAACGTTTCCAGACGACCTTAAAGCCCGTTTCAGTAAGTTCGCCTAAAAATCTTAAAAATGTCCAATGTTGAATCACAAAATGACGCCACAGAGCCAACTGCAGACGAACTTGAATATCAACAGCCCTCAACCAGTGTTGCATAGCAATGAACCATTCTTCGTTCACTAGAATTTCATGAAATAATGTTAAATAATAAACTTCACCGAATTTCATTAGCACATTCATATTATTAGTAGTCATTAATAGAAATCATAAATGTTAGAAAAAATCTAATTTTTGCGTTGAGAAAGCCTAATGAATGCTTACGTGGCATTCTCTCCATTACTCTATAATAATAACACTTATATAGTACTTACTACACTTACTAGAGACTAACTAATAAAAGTAATTAAAAGAACTGACTGTTTTTTGAAGTTTTATAATAATATTATTCTATCTTGTTTCAAATATAATGAAAATGTTGACTTGTATTGTTAGAAAAATCTAATTTAAACGTCCTCCGTCCAGTATCCTCTCTATTATTCTTTAAGTCAATTTTTCTTTAATTACAGTTCTAAAAGAACTGATTGTAATAAAAAGTTAAGTTATAAAAGTAAAATAATAAAAAGACTTAAACTCTTAAATGGCTTTATTTAATAAATTTAACGTATATAATAGTGGAATAAACACAATGAATTTGTATGAAACCCTGACAAGTTTGCATTATATGTCTGACAACTCAAAAGTAGATTCTGAAGACATTAAATCATTTGAATGCACAGTAGATATATCGACACAGTAAACGTTTAGTTCAGATTAATTAATTTGTTTTCTAAAAAAAACCGAGCAATGTTTCATCTCCTTTCGACTAAAAATAAATTCTTTGTCAAGTTTACAAAATGCAATCACTCGAACGACGCGATTATTCTTTGTAAGTATCCAACAATTTTCTTACTTTCCTTCAAAACAAACATCCTCTAATATTAGCATTAAAATAGGCGTTGAATTATTATCTTTGATCACGTAACTAATTTCATGATGATCAATTGCTGATGACGAATTTTAACTGTGGATATACCTACATCACTTTTCACATCTTTTTGCACATCATACTGAGATTTTTGAATCTCTATTAGTCAGTTAGCTATTTGAGCTAAGGGCTTATTACCGCTACGAAACATATTTTTGATTTCATATAAGTTTGACTAAAATGAGTAGGCTATTGATTGTGTGGCCGTGGAAGGAAAAGGGGAGATCTCCCGCCGGGCAAGGTGTTCTGCCCGGGGAGCGGCGAACGCTCCATGATATAGTTCGGAGATGTTCTATATATACTGTTTATGATTCAGAATGTTGATAGCGTGATTTAGGCTTCAGTGTAATTCGCTTGTGGCGCGACGACAGCGCCGGCACAATTGTATTGAAACTACATAAGCATGATAATGATCTGTCGAATAAATTGTAACTGCACATAACAGTCGTCTCGTATCACCCCTTTTAGTACAACAATCCAGTAATATAATAAAAATTCTGTATTCCAATGCTTTCCAAAATGATAAGCAATCCAATACTCTTATTTTACTGTGTAGCTCTTTAAACAATTTGAGGAATTGCATTTTTAAAGATAATTCTTTGTTTGTTTTACTAGGCCATTTCAACGACTTATTTTTGAAATATCCATCACGCCAACCAGTGAGAAGCCTTTTTACTATAGGCAGATCTATCAAATGTAACGATTCTGCTACTGGAAGGGTGTCAATCATGTTGATCGGAAGTTTCAAAAGAGGGAAATCCATCTTGTGATGATATTCATCGTATTTATTGCGAGTCAGTCCTATTCGGGAAGATTTTGTTCGGATAGTAATTAGTGTGGGACACGGGTGTATACTCTTCCTCTATAGAATATTTATGACAACCATGTTAAGAACTCGTCACTCCTGTAAAAAAATAATTAATTATACTAACTTTAACGGTTTGAAACCTGATATGGAATGGATTGCATACAACAACCTAATGGCTTTTGAAAATATTTTCAACAGGTACAGGTTTATAAGGTAAGATTGCCGAAAATAGGAAACTAAAAAAAATTGCACCGACTTTTACGTTACCGGTGTACTAACTATTCTTAAGAAATTTTTACGCAATTTACGTTTAACATTTCCTCTTCGTTTTTTGTATCACCCTGTGCCGGTCCATCCTGCAAGACAATCGTTGCTTTGAAGTCGCGGACGCAACTGACATTCTCTGAGGACGTCTGTAAAGCTTTAAAATATTCTTGTAGGATTTAAATCGTACCTTCAACTCTTAAGAACAGCTTACTGGTTTGGGTTTTTATCACACAGTCCTAATTTGTTTACACAGACAACTCTAATACAGCCTAAAGGTCCGAATTAGGTTTTGGAATTACTTATAAGCGATTTCAACAATCTACAACCTTATGGTAATATGAAAGTTAAAAATTTTACTTACTTAATAAGGAGTAAATAACAACTTTATGATCCTAGGTCTATATCCTCTTGAAAGACAAGTCAAAATAACGTTAATTTAAACTCTTGTCAACAGCTTTAAGGTTGTAATAATAAACAATTAGTGTTAGGGCTTAATAATCGTTCACAAGTACTTGATATGGCCAGATATCAAAGCATTAACCTTTTTAAAACTTTTTTTAAACCCTAAAGGCATTTTTTACAACCTAGGCTCGGAAAAAATGTTACTTGGGATGTGAAGCATCAGCGTATTGTGAAGAAAAAAATCTATTAAAACGAAGATCCCCAATGAAATGAAGATTAGGCTCAAAAATCAACCATCCAAGCTTAAAATCTTACTAAAAACCACAAACTAATAAGAGTACTAACGTACTAAAAACAATGAAATAACAGATTTAGTGTTGCCACTTTAGCGACTTTGTCGCTAAATCTAACGAGTTTTTTGTTAATTCAATGTTTAGCGACAAAAAATATTCTGGCGACTTTTAGCGACATTTGCACTTACTTAAATTTTTGTTACCATCTGACTACTTTAGGCGTAAGGTCGTTTAGGCGTAAGGAATACTATACTCTATACGTTAAAGAAATTATAAAATGTAAAGTGCCGAAACAAAGGTTCTCTGTATGTCGTTTTTACAATAATAATAATAATTTCTTTTTTTGACACTTATAATTTCATACAACATCATTAAGCCCCGACTCCCTATTTCTGTACACTTGGATACTGATTCTGATAACGCACTTAACGGGAACCACAGTGTTGTTTACATGTTGTATATATATATATATATATATATATATATATATATATATATATATATATATATATATATATATATATATATATATATATATATATATTGTTCGATTTTTCTTTGTTTTGCGTTTTTTTAATAAAATTTTTTTTAGCGACATTTGGGGACCTTTTTTGTTAGTACATTTATTGATAACTAGGGACTTTTCGGTGGCTGGCTAGAGACCTACGCTAATTCAATGTGGCAATATTGAACAGATTTAGTCTATGGAAAGCTTTCTTTAGTCCGTCACTTAAAGTGCTTAAAATTCGAATTTGTATTTATAATTTTAAAGAAATTAATACAATATTGTGCGTGGTTGACGAAAATTCAGTCTTTTAATGAAAAATCATGTTGATTACATGATTTATTTAATAGTTTGTCATAATGAGCAGTAACATAGAAAACGATAGATCAAGCTCAACTGGAAAAATGTATCCTATAGATTTAGCACCACAAAAGGTTACTATTGTAAAGGGTATGTCCAATACGGAGGTAAAAATGGCACATTTAATATCCGGTCAACCGAAGACATCTGGTACCGGACAGTTAATCACTCATGCTGGTCCTGTTGGCTTAATGCGTACAGCTGCACAAATAATAACTCCTGGCGTCTCTTCTCAGGTAGGTTATATAAAAATTACTCTTAAACTTAAAATTTTAGTAAACACTACTTTAAAACATTACATGAATTTGTAAAATGAATAAAATTAAGTTGAAACTACATTAGCTCCTAAATTTATTTGCATAATCTCTTGCTGACAATATGGTGCTGCTGATTTCGTTAATCAGTTGTGTAAGGAAACTGATTCCAATTGTGAGCAGTACACAATAGTGCATGGTCTCAGGTACAACTCAAAGTGAAATGCTTATATTTAATACTGAAACTTTTTTCCCATCGTATATGCCCTCAGTTGTACTTGATGGCTCTGTTTTACAAAGGGTGAATAAATTTAAATATCTCTGACATACGGTATCAAGTGATCTAAAATATGATCTTGATATTGAGAGTGGCTGCAGACTTTTAGTGGCAAGGAGTAATATGTAAGCCAGCAGCTTTTTCTCAGTGTATAAAGTAAATTAAGTTATCTCTTTATTAAGTATATTGTCTTTCTACATGGGCAGCCTTGTATAAAGTGAGCCTATAACATCCTGTGCCTACAATATAATAATGCATTTAGGATGTTGTTGGGGCTTCTGCAATATTTCAGCACGTCGGAGATGTTTATCAATGTGCATAATTAATGTTTTCACAAAATGATTTGTAAAAAAGTATCATCCCTACTTTTTAAGAGTAGTTACAGCAACAACAGTGTTATGAAATTGTTTGGGAGCTAATGTGATTGCCCCTTACTGGGTGGTAGTTGCTATGGCAAGCTTAAATTAATTGTACCATAGATATTTTTAGTTGTACAATTTAAGCATGCAGTAGCATCTATTCAGTTTTAAATTTTGTTTTAAATTGATTTATAATTCTAAATTATAAATCAATTTAAAACAAAGTTAGTAAAAGATGTGTTTTAATAAATTATAATTAAATTTAATAAAACACATCTTTAATTTCATGAGATAAGTTTTTCTATTTTACTAACCTCTATGAAAATGTTAAGTCTGAAATAAAATATTATTTATTTAGATTTCCCTAAAAGCTTGTAATTTTTTTACAGCCTCAGATGATTGTTAGCGGACCACCGATCATACAAGGTACTCAAATAGTTAGCCAAGGCTCTCAGTTAATAGGACAAACATCACAGATCATATCACAATCACAGTTATTAAGTCCAAGTGGCCAGATAATAAGTCCAGGAACTCAGATCATCAGCCAAGGAACCCAGTTGTCTGCACAAGTTTCAAATTCAAACAATTCTGTGTCTAACAACAATATACAAACAAGTGTGTCGTCACCTGTTAGTGGAACTCAGGTGCTGAATGTTGGTGGTCAATTAGTAAGTGGATCTGGTAACTTAGTAGTCAGCTCATCTGTGAGAACACTGCCACCTAGTGTTAGAGTGCTCCCCCCTCTTCCACATCACAACAGCAGACCAGGTAAGCAATAACCAGTAAGGAAAATGATGGAATGAAGTAAAATATCTAAATTGTTCTATTCTTACAATTGAAGTAAACTACTACATACACACTATATTATGTATATCATTTATATGTTTTTTGTGTGTAAACAAAATCAAATTCAATAGAGATTGTGAAATCTATTTATTTATAGAGTAAATCTAATTTTACGGAATTTATTGCATTTATTTATTAAATAATTAAACATGATAAATTTTTTAAAATTGATGAATTTATTATATACATGGTTATTTTGCAATAACAGGCCATATTTGCAGAGACGGTTAAGAATAAGTAATATAGGCAAATGGTGAAGAAAAACTAATTTAAAAATATATATATTTGATTATATATTTGAACTTAAGTTTAAAATTTGGCTACTCTTTGAAAAATAACCCTGTATAGCTATATCTTATCTTGGTAACTGTGCCCAGCATGCAACACATTGCTTGCAAGTAGATGAATTTTATAGGTGCATATTATAGAAAAAGAATAAGCAAACAAATACTGTATACATAGAAAAAATGACTTATCATATATAAAGAAAAAATGTATATCAGAACTTTGTGTGCGAAAATAACCCCACTATAGTCTACACCTTATATTTTCTGAGAAATAAGCTTCGAGATATCCAGGCAAAGTTAATGGTATTTCCATTTGCCTAGGCAAAAAAATCGCAGTTTAAAATGCTTTTTCAAATAAACAGATTTCGCTCCCATAAGGTGTTGGTTTATTATGCCTACCTATCCATGACAAATTGTAAAACTTTTTTTTTAATAAGAAGGTAGGCAATGTTAAGCAGACATTTTGAACATTAGTCATTTTATGGGAAATCTTTCAGGGTTGTATTTTATAACCATAGGAAAATAAAACAACTTATTTGTTAAAAAGGGTCAATCCGTTTATCCACCCTAAGGTAAAATAAGTTAAATATGTTCTTTATTATTAAGTAGTATACATCTCAGGGTGGATAAATGGAATAACTAACCCATTAAAAATTCCAACATCATAAATGTTACTTTTTTTTTTTTTTTATTAAGTACCAAGGTAACAATTTGTACTTACCCAATAATTACAATAATAATAACCTTACTAAATAATAATATTTATGATTACAAAATAATAAAAAAATTAAGTGCATATGTAATCTACTATTCCAATTGGATACATTCAGATTAGGTTATAATAGTTTGACAACTTTGGCATGTCAAAATCATGATTTTAGGCTTATAAATCAATATGATAATGCAGGTAGGTACATAAATAGCTAAATTAACAAATTATACTTAAAAACCTTTAAAAATTATGTTTATAAGCTAAAATTATTAGTCAATAAAAATAATTACTATATTCATCCTGCATTAAAAATATTCGTCAGGATTTTTCATAACAAACTAGTATATTGCCTTTATTTAAAATGGTACGCCTGGAAATCCCGAATTGCTTTTTGTTTTGATATGATGATAATTTCTTAAATTTTATGAGATCAACCACTAAGTTTCGCATCCGAAGCTGGAAGCTTCAGGAAGCGGATACTAGGGACAAATATCACACGAGGGTAGCCGAAAAGCTTGACACCATCGATGGCAGGAAAGAATGTGTGGAGAGAACATGGCAGAACCTTAGGAATGGAATGGTAAGTGCAGCGGAAGAAGTATGTGGTACGACAAGAAGAGGTAGTAGTAAAAGAAGAGATGCATGGTGGAATGATGAAGTGAGAGAAGCTGTAAAAAAAGAAGAAAAAAGCATGGTTAGACTACTTGGCCTCTAGTAATGATGAGCATATGAGAGAGAAGATGAAAGAAAGATATAAGCTGCAGAAAGTTCATGCGAAAACATTGATTGAGGAAGTACGTGAAAGGTGTAGAATGGAAGCGGACGAGAGGTTGTCGCACAACTTTAGGGAAAATTCCAAACTCTTTTGGAAAGAGGTTGGAAGGTCCCGGAGTGGTGCGACAGCCTTAAGAATGAACAAAGTGCTTTCGAGAACCAATGACGTCCTCTCAGAAAAATCGGACGTCATGCAGCGATGGAGTGAATTTTATAGAGAAATGTATGCGTGTCATGATCTTAGTGAAGGATCCGGGGATGACGCCGAGACTGGCACGCCAGACACGGACCTCGATGACACTGAGGTCATCAGCATGAAAGAGATTGAACGTGCGATTCGAAGTTTGAAATGTGGTAAGGCTGCGGAACTAGACAGAGTTACTGCTGAAATGGTCAAGTACGGTGGGCCTCGCGTCTGGGACAGCTTCCATATGCTGTGTAATTTGTGCTGGCGGACGGGAGATGTCCCGGATGATTGGCGATCCGCGGTCATTGTGCCTTTATATAAAGGTAAAGGTTCACATTTTGACTGCGGGTGCTATCGGGCGATCAGCTTGACCAGTTTAGCAAGTAAAGTTTACTCGAAGGTTTTGACACGTAGGATGCAAGAGAAATCGGAAAGATTCTTATGGGAGGCACAATGCAGATTTAGACCTGGAAGAGGATGCACGGATCAAATGTTTTCTCTCCGCATGATCACGGAGAAGCTTCTGAGTGCTAACCAGAAGATTTTCTGTGCTTTTGTGGATCTGGAGAAAGCATTTGATAAGGTTATAAGGAAGAAAATGTGGGAACTGTTGCCGGGATATGGTGTGGATGGTCGATTGTTAAGGGCTGTGCAGTCACTTTACTATGACTGTAAAGCCTGTGTGCGGGTAGGGCATGACCTGTCACCCATGTTTAGCGTCCAAGCGGGCGTAAAACATGGTTGTGTCATGTCTTCCTGGCTGTTCATACTGTATCTCGACAGCTGTTTACAGAAGCTGAAAAATAGCTGTTTGGGTGTGAAATAGGGTGACATAAAAGTTAATTGTCTGCTGTATGCTGATGATGCAGTGCTTATTGCACCATCAGAAGCAGAACTGCAGGCATTAGTCACGTGTATGAAAGAGGAATGTGAAATTAAAGGTCTCCGTTTGAATGCTAATAAAACTAAGGTTCTGGTATTTGAAAAGGACGAAGAGAGAACGAAATGTGAAATATGGATAAATCAGGAATGTCTAGAACAGGTAAATGAAATTGTATACTTGGGGAGTGCTTTCAGCTGGTATGGAAGATGTGATTTAGATGTGGATAGGCGTGTCGCTGCCGGAAACAAAGTCAATGGTGCCCTGAATGCATTAGTAAAAAGGCAAGGCGTGGTGAAGAGTGCACGCCTTGCAATACATAATGCAGTGTTGGTACCGACTTTGTTATATGGCAGCGAAACCTGGGTATGCCAGAAGAAGCATAAAAACAAGTTGAATGCAGTGGAGATGCGATCTCTTCGTAAAATGTGTGGCGTTACCTTAGCCGACCGAAAGCGAAACGAAGAGATTCGCAATATGGCAGGATTGAAAGATGACCTTATCACAAAAATTGATAGGGGCGTACTCCAATGGTTTTGGCACGTTGAACGAATGAGTGAAGACCGAATGGTGAAGAAAATATATAGAGCGAAAGTAAATATTAAAAGGTGTCGAGGTGGACAGAGATTGACTTTCGAAGACCATGTGAGCAAATTGCTCGAAGAGGGGAAGGTCAAGAGTACTCGGATACCTAGACGTGCATGTATGAAGAAGTTAATGAACCTGAAAGAAGCGAAAGAGGTATGTAAGGATCGTGACACTTGGCGATCTGTTCTCTCTGGCTACCCCATTAGGGATTGTGCGTGAAGATAAGTAAGTAAGTAAGTAACCACTAAGTTTAGCATTTTGGTAGAATAATTCTTGTACTGCTGACGATTTTTTCATTTATTTTTGTTTTGGAACTGGTGTTTTTCATGTTTCGAGGCACCTTCTACCTTTTAACAATTATAAGGTACATTTAAGACTATTTACTATGTAAGTTCTAAAATGTTGGTATCTATCTTAACAAATAGATGGTAGTCAAATGTGTATATTCTCAAATAAAAATGCAATAAACTTATTTTTGTATAACAATAATAAGTTTTTTAGGATATTTATGTAAAACATAAAGGTTATATTATGTTCTAACTACGTGCACGCTTGCGCATATAAAACCGCTAGTTTTATTCACTAGTTTTATTATCAAAGTATAATTGAAAACCCTACCCCTAAGCAAAGTTTTGTTGATTTTACATAAAAAGCGACATATAATTGTCTTGATTGAACTTTGATTGAATTGAACTTAAACTCGTTGTAGAAGATCAAAACATAGAGAGAAGGATAGGAGACTATTTTTCGTTTACTATGGTTCATCAAATCTGTAAAAATAGTTTAAAATTCTCACATAATAAAATTTTGAACTATAGGCAAAATATCTGCGAACATCATTTGCACAATTTTGACGTTCACAGATGTTTCACAACTTTTTTGCCAGAACCAAAAGTAAGCGTTGGCGTGCTACAAAAATCATACCATAAAATAAAGTCTCTAGCTTTAATAGCCTACTAATGAAATTCAAATGATAGGTTTAGGCAAAGTGAGGCTTGGTAGGTCAAATTAGGGCATTTTACGGTATTCATTTTTGTTTGTTAGTTTTTACTTCATTATAATTTTTTTTCTGATTACAATTAGATAAATGGTATAGAAACAAACACAAGTCAAACAAAGAAACTATTCATAAAAATAAATAGTAATATAAAGATTTATGTTAGCTAAAAATGTATTTATAAGTATTGCAACCAATATTTAAAAATTACACACTTTTTGTTTACTTTTTATTATGTCTGAAACTAAAACAGTCTGTGCAAACATTTTTTTTTAATTTTGCAGTTTTATCAAGCGTCAATGTAAGTACAGCAAGTGGAGTATTAGTGAACAAAGGGGTAACAAGTCATGTACCAAGAGGATTGGCTGCTGGTGCCTCACTTGCAGTACGCCCTGTCACACCTTTAGCTGCTTCACAATCATCTGCAAACCAAGGTACAGCAAAAAGTGATATTGAAAACTTATTATACAGGGTGTTAGTGTAAACACTATTATCCTTGAAACCAGTGGTTTGGTTTCATTTATAGAACGTAAATTCAATGAATTAAAAAAACGCTATTTTCTTTCATAAAATTTAAAAGTTTCTGTCCGACACTGTCCGTAAATTCATGGATTACCCTATGCGCCTGAGTGACGTAATCACTGTAAAGATCACCGCCCGCGCTAGCTATCTACACAACATTCCAATAAAAACAAAATAGGCACACATAACCTGTGATGTAAATTTCCTTCATACTTTCATCCTGGCTTAGGACAGGCAAAAATTGAGATTTTACAAAAAAAAAGTTGGTATTTTTCAATGAATTTACATTCTATAAGTGAAACCAAACCACTGCTTTCAAGGATAACGGTGTTTACACTAACAACCTGTATATTTTATTTATGTATGAGACATGAAAAAAAACTGCTGATGCTAATTGTCAAGGGTGGCAATTAAGGTAAAAATCTCCCTATAGATTATCATGAAGGAGGTCCTATGTTCAGCAGTGGACACCTGATAGGCTCTAATGAAATGAGAGATAAGAGCATTATTTGGTATTTCTATTCCACAGTGACCCGAATTTGGCCCCTTTCCACCCCCTTATCACATTATTTGGTACGGATTCAAAACTACTATTTATAACTACAGTGAACCCCCGGTAATTTGGCCCCTGTCTAATCCAGCACCCCCTGTTATCTGACATGCTCTATTATCTATTATTGAATTTTTTTTGACAATCTTCGCTAATACATGATTGAACAAGTTTTAACTTGTACACACCACCACTAATTTGCTCGACGCGTAGGGTATTGTTTTGGTTCTGATTGAAAAATTTGTTTCTGAAAATGGTTGAAAGATTATAATATTCCTCAAAAAGCGTTATTGCTTCTTGATAAAGCTCTTAAATTGATTAATTCATAATTTTTGATTATTTTAGTACATACATTTGTTTGTACACAATTATTTCCTAATGTAAAGTTCTATAGCATTAATGACATTAATTTTATAATAAAACGTAAGCTGCCTATTGTGTTGTTTAATTTACTAAAGTACAATGGCGAAATAATAGGTGATGGAATTATTTAGCGTCTACTTAAGTCACCATTACAGATATCAGTAAAATAATTTACTTTATTTTATCTAATCAAGATTATGGCCTATTGAAGTCTGGAAAAAATCATCTTACCTAATTTAAAACTAAATTGACTAGTTGTTGGGGAAAATTCTCGATGGAATTATTGCTACTTATGTCACCATTACAGATTAATTTACTATGTATTATCTAATCAAGCTAATGGTGTATCAAAGCCTGGAAAAAATCATCATACACAATTCAAAACTTAATTGACTAGTTGTTACGATTCGTCAGTTAAGACAGGCAAAAGATTCCCTCTGTGCTAGTAATTAAGCTTAACCCGCCGTTGGCCGCATGGGGCGAATAAACGCCCGCCAAATATTTTCTTAATATTTAAAATACTAATATTTTTATCGCATTCAAACTCTAGCTACCTTCCTATAACGACTGAATACGCGACACAAACGAGTGACCTTTCTGTTTGCGCCGTGCACTTGAACGCTACGGATGTATTTTCGTGCACGGGCGTTAGTTGATCCCACGCGACCAACGACGATATAAAAGTGTAATTATTAGAAGTGATAAATGAGTGTGTCACAAGAGGAACATATTAGAAACTGGTTAGAAGAAGAATCAGATGAAGATGTAATTGGCGGGGAAGATAATGAAGGTGGTGATGAAATAGAGCCTCAAATAAGTGAGCACGAAACTGATACAGAAAAAGAATGCGATTCAGAACCAGAAGCTGTCACTGAAAATTGGAGCATTGGTTCAAGTAGCGAAGACGACGTTCCCTTGTCTTACTTGCATACTTCACGGTGTTAAATGGTGCACAAAAAATTAAGAAATGGTAGGACTGAAGTAATTTTCAGATGGAGAAAGCAATCGCCGCCACCAACATGTCGCAGCCGCAGTCAGAACATTGTGACCCATTTGCCAGGACCTAAAGCCATATGTAGAGGAGCAGATACTGCTGAAGAAGCCTGGATGTTTTCAGCAGTATCTGCTTCTCTACGTATTGTATCACACAACAAATCATCACACGTACGTATCTCGGACGATTTCAACCCTGATGGGACTGGATTGGATATTTGTAGAGTTGTAATGGTGGTACAAAGATTTAAATTTCTCTTGCGCAATCTCAGATTCGACGACAGGAATACTCGTGATGAGCGAATGGCTGAAGATAAATTCGCGCCCGTAAGAGAATTGTTGGAGTAGTTTGTACAGGCTTATCAACGGTGTTATACTGTTGGTGAGTATGTAACACTGGACGAAATGTTAGAAGCTTTTAAGGGAAAGTGTAGTTTCAGGCAATATATGCCTAACAAACCCACAAAATATGGTCTAAAATTACAGGCATTGATTGGTTGATGCTTGTTTATTTTATACCCTGAATTTAGAGGTATAAGTGGGAGTTTAACCTGCAGGACCGTATGCTGAGGACAATTCTACGATGGCTATCACAAAGCGAATGATTCAACCAATATCTGGAACGGGTCGAAATATCATCACCATGGATAATTGGTACACTAGTGTTCCACTAGCTGAAGATTTGGTGACGCAGCACAATTTGACTTTTGCTGGATCAATAAAAAAAAACGAGAAATACCTAGCGATTTCAAAAGAAAGGGACAAGTGGTTTGTTTTTTATTTCGATTTGGTAAGCATCATAGTATCTTAGTATCATATTACCCCAAAAAGAATGAAGTAGTTCTGTTACTTTCAACTATGCATTATGATTCTTCAGTAAACAACGCAAAACCGCAAAAATTACTATGATACCATTCTACTATAATAATACAAAAGGAGGGCTTGACATTGTGGATCGACTGAAGTTGAACTACACCTTTGCACATACTTGTTATAGATGGCCACTATGTCTATTTTTTACTTTACTTGATATTAGTGTTGTGAATTCGCATATCATATTCGACGGCCTAAATCCTAACACAAGTCTTACGCGCAGGGATTTTATAAAGTCTATTTAATTAGCTTATTTATTATTCGAAACTCAACTAAAGTGCCGAAGCACGGTGAAAATTTGCCCCGAGAATTATCTAACACTATAATGCGCTTTGTAACAACTCAAGTTCAAGAAATAGAGAAAGATGAAGACGAACCGCAACCGAAAAAGAAACGACGTGTACACTGCCTTCGCCAAATGGACAGAAAATATTTTACACTGTGCTAGAAGTGTAAAAAAAATGTATGCCCTAGGCACTGTAAAAATATTTGTGAAGAATGTATCTGAACATATTTACAGTAACTGACAGCATGTTTTTTTACTGGTTATAAGTTTTATGATCTAATATCATTATCTACTTTATGAAGATTTAACTAAGTGAGAAAAAAAAGTTTTTCTTGATGTAGTTTCAATCCCTAATAATTTTTATTATAGATTCCCATAAAAATGTATCTCAGCATAACTTTCTGCCTATGGTTTTTTGTATTTTTTATTGTAAGTTAGACATACACAATGAAGTATAATTTGTACTTCAGAGTACAAATCATAATTCATTATGTTATATGTAGTACATATATATATTATGTATTTTTACTTTATTTGTACTTTGGATCTGTAATTTGTCGGATTACTAGATACTCTTTTGTAAAAAAATCGGGACTATAGGGGTCTTAGGCAGTACTCTATAATCCGACAAATTCGATAGTTCCACACTGCTCTGCAAAATGTTTGTCGGACTACTGGGGGTCCACTGTACTATGGTAATAGGTATTCCACATTTTTATTCATTATTAGGTAGTTAGTTTACGATGGGCTGTTTTCCGCAACTAAGCGCGTATTTTGCGTGTGGCAGAAATATTGTCGAGCCATTTTCGGCATCATACCCCCCAGTTTGCCGAACTCACCGCACTGCCAAAGTTATACTAGCTTTTTTGATTTTGTTTTCTATGTGTTTATTCCAGTTAAGTTTACTGTCCAAGGTAAGACCTAAGTATTTTACCTCAGAAGATAACTGGAGTTTTGTCCTGAAAAGACTTGGGAGATGATAGTTATTCAGAATTTGTTTTTGTGTGAACATTACAAGGACTGTTTTATTTGGATTAATGGTTAAGTCATATTCCCTGCACCATCTCTCCACTATAGGGAGAGCCGCTTGGGTCATGTCGCCCACCATGCGTGCTGTCTTTCTAGAAACCAGTATTGTTAGATCATCTACATAACCTATTGTGTAGAAATGATTGGCATTTAATTTGCTGATGAGTTCATTAATGACCATATTCCACAGGAGAGTTGAAAGAACCCCACCCTGCGGGCAGCCTTTCTTGATCTGAATTGTTTAAGTTTCACCAGCAATCTTTATTGATTGTGTGCTGAGCATCTTTACCAGATCAATCAGTGCCGGTTCAACTGTATGTCTACTTATGTAGTGCACCTTTTATGCTGAAGAAGTTTGTTCTGTCAAAAGCACCTCCTATGTCTATGAAGGAGCCTAGACATTTTACTTTGTTTTGGATAGCCTCTTCAATCTTTGTTATTACGTGGTGATGTGCCGATTTTGTCAATTTAGCTGTAGGCGTGTTGTTCATCGTGTAGCGCTAAGTTCATTAGCGCCGACCCCTTTAATTCCCTTTCACATATCTAATCCAACCTGTAATATGCAACAGATTCATCTATGGTCTGGGCATGAAGCCTCTTTCGACATATGGCATCCCGTTATTAGTTCTTTCTGTTGTAAGTGTGAGGTCGATTATTGTGCGACAAATTTGATTCTCACTTGATTCTCTGCAATATCTCTGACTGTTTATGATCAGCGAGGTGTTAGATTTGAGGTCGAGATAGCAATGTTATTATTATAAATTGCTCTTACCTCAATGTGTATACAAATCTGTATACGGTTTCGGATGAGCTTTCAGAGCATCATAAATATGACTGATGACTACTACCCACTTCATTCAAACCTATAAATATAATTTTATGTTCTTTAACGCCTCACTCGATAAAATTATTTATCAAAGACCGTGAAAGGATAATATGCCATTTTCGCGGCATATTGATGGAAGTTTTTTTTTTCTTTCTTTGGTTATAATTCGTATGGAAATACTTTTGCCGGTGTCAAGTAATAAGAAATTATCGTTTGTATTTTGTTTCAAAACTCCTTTACAATACGTCGATGCGTCACATTAAGAAGTTCTTGGAAGATTTTGACGACAACTTAATTCTATGGCATGTCGATGACGACAGCATCACAAGCGCTAAAGGCGCCTAAGTGAACAAAATAACTTGAGGTTTATATCAACATCAGAGTACTTATTTCGTTGTTTGCACTAACAGTTAACATGCGCAGACACTTAATACAAAAACAAAATTGCATCACTTTCACTTATCAAAATCCACTTCATCATCAACCATTATTTAAACAATAAAACGAGCAACAATCCGTAAGCGATAATTTTCCAAATTAGAATTCAGATTTTTTTTAAAAAGTTGTAACATTATTTATGGCCAGACTAGTTATGCTATAATATCTACTTTTTGATTTAATTTTTGTGTCACCTGTTAAGTACCCTATTTATTTAAGAGGTTTAAAATACAAAGTGATGATATAATATTTTTACCTTATTTGTTTATGCAGTCAAAGCTTATTTAAAATTGCCGCAACACTAAGAACGTTTGTATATTATTAATGTTTGAAATATTATTTCAGGTGGTGGTGCTTGGTCCAGCAGTGGGCGAGGTCGAAGTGCATTAGTATACGGGAGTCGCGGGTCTTTGCCACGTAGTACCACACCCCGTACCCCAACTCCTACACCTGCCTCCCCTACACCAGCTCCTGTGTCAACGCCCACACCACAGCCGAGTCAGTCTCCACACTCAACTATCATCACTTTACCTAGTAGCACTGTTCTCACATGTGAGTATTATCCTGAAATACCAATTTTATACTAAAATTCTATTGAAAACAATTTGCAATAGGGACTTCTTCTTCATCAGCCCGTAAAAGTCACTAATTAGGCCTTTCCTATGTAGAGAGGACTTTCTTTGATCGAATTTACTTTCATATAAATGCTACACCACTAAGTATGTCTGTCTGTCTGACCTTTTAATATTTGAAGTGGCTGTTTTTAAAATAAAATTTCAAACAGTTTTTCTATAGCCTTGAAATTAAAAAAATACTGTTAATTATTCCTTAATTTGTAGTATTAGTACTACCCAGAACTAATGATTAATGCGATCAAGGGTACTAATCTAGCTACTTTTTTAATATCACATAACTTCCATACTACCTATCTCCGATCCAATATAATATTTTTTCTAAAAGGCTATGGAGCCACTTGCAAGCACCTCTCGGGTTATCAATTATTTACCAGACATCCAAAATATTAAAATATAGAGTATATAGATAGTTTAGTATGAAACACTAGGCTCTCTGCCAAGTCGCCTGCAGAGGAGTTTCTTGGTCTCGTTATAACGGCCAGACATATTTTGTTGGTCTTCACTGCCTGGTAAATCCAGACAGCTTATTTGTGCATGCAACCATCGGAGAGCCGGACGGTCGTCGAGTCTTCATCCCTTTGTAGTCGATATTCCACGCATCCAAACAAAACTGTTTGCTTCATCTTTTATTCTTCAGCAAAGGAAGGGTTTCTTTCAACAAGGGAGTAGAATAAGCTGCCGTTGTCTATCTTTCCATCCATCATTACAATCTGTGGGTCTTCATAATAAAAGAGGATAGGCGATTTTTTTTTATTAACGCTTAGAAAGTGCGTCTTGGACTTCATCACCCCTTACCATCAAAAGAGTTTGAAGTCAAGCATTAGGCCTATGGTTATTTCGGCCCATAAGTGTCGTATGAGAGATGCCTGTTTAATTTTATGGCTTCCAATAGATGGTGGTATGACCATTTCTTAACGCCGCCATAAATATCCAGACTAAGTACGACTCAACCGGGGTATACGCTCTAACAGAATATCGGCGTGAAACAGCGAAATGATGGTGCTGTTTTTCGTATGGTGAATGTAGAGAACCGGAGACCCTTGTTACTGGTAAGGATGCTATTCTATTTTAGTCTTCAGGGGTGTTAACTTTTACCTGTTTTGCCTTGTAAATGACATTATATCATCACATTTGAGTTAATTATTGTACAAAATTTAGCAAGTGGTGTGATATCGAACACTGTACGCGGTCCCGCCCCTCGGACTACAACACCGACGCCGATCCCCACTGCTGCTACACCACGCCCGTTGCCACTTCTGCAGAGGAATTATCAGCCCACTAAGGTAACTTTGCATTGTATAATATCTGATATTGTACTTTCTTAATTCATTTTTGGTTAAAGTTACAGCCTATATTCATCCAACTGCTGGGCACGGGCATCCCTTAATTTCTGAGAGGGTTTTAGGGCAAGGAAATTGGCTAATAAGTCGCTGCCCCAATGCGTGTTGGCGAACCACGCATGTCTTTGAAATATTTTTTTCTTATTTCTCAGACATGCAGGTTCCCTCACGATGTTTTGCTTCACCGCCGAGTACGTGGTTAATCAGCATCTAAAATTGGTATTAACAATTTCATTGGTGCCGGCGGACTTCGAACCCGGGTTGCTTGCATACTGTGAAATTTACAATGAGCGCTAACCATCTGAGTTACCACGGCTAAAGGAGACAATTTCATTTTGTATGTATAATGTGCACACCACAAATTTTAGTGACATTTATGTAATGCATGTCGATTTATTTCTTATAACCTATACGTTAAAATAGTAATATTAGTTTTCACCTCATCTAACGGAAATACTGAGAAATAAAAATTAAAATATGAATTTCACAATAACCTCAAAACAAACTAAATGCGATTGTCTAGTGGTCTTCACTGTTGTTTTAAGTCAAAATAGTGCACTGTTAAATAATTAATAGTTTATAACAAAGTTGTAAGGACATTCAGCATTTATAGGTATTTCAAGATAGATGGAAAATCCTTTTAGTAGTTCGGGCAAAACATGGTGTAGAGACTATTTTTTACATGTAATAATTGATTAGTGAATGTACATCCCAAACACCATTACAGTAATTAAAGAAAAATTATTAAAGTCAAGATGACAAAGGGATATGTCCATTTATGATATTTTAGATGTTTTAAACTGGTTAAGTAAATATAAGAGATACAAAGTAAAACGCCACTGCATTTATAATTGTAAGTCATTATTTCCAAAGTAGTCCCTTAAAAGTACAATAGATAGACAGGCAGGCGCCGTGTCAAGACTTTGTTTTTAATAGGTTTTGATTGATCAGTAAGTATACACCAGTATACACCATAAATAACATTCAAACCATAATTACTGGTTATTAAACACTAATAAAATAAATAGTAAGTTAATGTTTAGAACTGGTGGTTTGATGAAACAAAAAAACAATTTATAATACCACTGTATTTATTACAGACATATTTATAATATTCAGCACAAAGAGACAAGTATGGTGTGGGAACTTTGTTTGTATATGTATTGATTGAATAATGTCAGTAATGTAAACGGTGTTAATTTTTTTAATTCTTTTTTAACTTACGGAATTTCGTTATTTTTAACATGTCGCTCCCATTGTACCTTATAACTAAATAACAATACAATTTATTAAATTACTTATACAAAATACTAACTGAATAATACACTATTTGAGTAGCATTTGACAGTAGTTCAGAAAGAATGCTTTGGTATTTACCTATGTTACATATTTTAATGTCAGTTTTGACGACTAGTAGTTTTCTTTCGTGACGGTTTTTGGCACGTTCCGCGAAAATGAAAAATATTAAAGCAAGACATTTTAAACTGATTGTGTAAGGATGAAGAAACTCTATGTTTTAGTTCACTATATTTCTTCAGTTCATTATCATTAATTATTATTTTAAAGCAGCACAGAAAGACACAGTTTGTGAACTTTGTTTTAGCTTTGCAGCACAGAGAGACAAGAACAATGTGGTGACTATACAGATCCCAAAAATCATTAACACCAAAATATTTTGTTTTATTATTACAAAAAGAAATTGATGACAACTATCTATTTATGATTTTGTTATGAATCACAAGGACATTTATTGTTATGAATAACAATGAGATAAGACTTGTCTTCGACATCCATAGACTGTATTTCCATATTGCTGTTATATTTTGTGTAATGGATAGCTGTTTCTTATATAAGTATTAGTGTGCATTGGAAGTGAAATACAGCTTCTTTAATATACAAACCTAAAATTTTTATGAGTTACATATTATAGAGTACATTAGATCAGATCAAACATCTTTTTCACATTACACTATACTCATAACTATATTTATTTTTAAGGTCGTTGGAGTTGCTAGCGTGGGAGTCAGAGGTGTAGTTGGCAATAGTGCGCCATCGCAGTTATACTATGAAGTTCCCCGTGGCACTCAGCACTCTTTGCCGCAACATCAAGCTCAGCATCAAGTGCAACACCAAACACAACTCCAAGTCCAACAAGCTCAGCACCTGGTTCCACATCAAGCCCAGCACCAAGTTCAACATCAAGCTCAGCATCAAATTCAACAGCAGCCCCAACTTCAAGTGCAACACCAAGCTCCTCAGCTCCAAGTTCAACATCACACACAGATTCAATCATTACCACGTCCTCTAACGCCTTACGCCCATACCCAGCCATCTGTGCAAGGTTTGTATTTGGCTAGCTATTACAATACAAGTACAGTCCTCATTGTACAGATTAACACATATTTAATCTTTATTTCTTACAGTGAGTGTTGTAAATACCTCTCAAGCTCCGACTGAAAACCGTCAGTTGCCTACGTCCGTTCCCAATTCAACTGTGCTTCCAAGACCATCTATATTGAGAAAACGCGAAATTGATGGGTAAGATTTTATTTAAAAATCCTTAGTTATTTATGTAATTATATTGTGAATGTGATCCTCGACCTCGGTTCTTGTTGATCTAGTGGTAAAGGCGGTTGCTGATGATGAGCTTCCTGGTCGTGTCAAAGGATAATGGCGAACTCCCAAACAAATTTTTTTTAATTTTTTTTGTGTCTACAAATGCAAATGTATATTTTGTAATATGTAATATTTTGCATTTGTAGACACAAGAAGAATATAGAGTTTTAAATCCTGAACATTTTTTTTCTTCGGTCATATTACTGCAGGAAGGCACTAATTAAAGAGGTTAAAGAAAAATCAGACTAGGCTATATGATATAAAACGCCTTAATTGGCAAATCGTTACAACAGCAACAAGTCAATATAATTTTCATATATGTATAATTAGGGTAATTACTAGCATAAAGGAAATCCTTAAAGAACGCATTAGTATATATAGAAAAGTTTTCTGAATAAAATACACGTCAAACTCGGCTGTATGGTATAAGACCTTTGCCTGTCTTAACTGACGAATCGTAACATCTACAACATATAGTCAATTATAGTCAACCAAATCTAAGAAATACCTTTTGACGTTTCACACTAATCATTCCGCAATAACTTTGCACAAGCGTACTCACACGATTTAAAATAACCTTTTACGTAAATCCGAAGAATTATGAAGTTATCTATATTTCATTACAACATGTATAGTTTTTTATCACTAATTTAAATTCGAATCTTTCAAACAAAGTGAAATATTAAAAAATAACCAGTATTAACTTTTTTTACTTTACGTCGTTTCAATGATATATCGCTATGTACATTATCGTAGTGTTTGGATGATTAAAATTCATTTTTATGCGAATAATCGGCAAAATATTAAAATAATCGGTAAAAATTCAAATAATTGAAATATTAATTTTTTTAATGTATTATTTGTTAAATTAAATTTTATTTTCGAAATTCTTTAAATTACATGAATAAAACAATTTATTGTTTTTACTTTGTCAAAGTAAGTTTATGTAGGCAAAAAAAACTCATATGTGCTAAAATAATCACTACATAATTTTAATATCGGTATCGGTACCAGTTACTCGAATCCACAGAGTCAGTAATTCATTCTTGGGGCGATGTATACGCCTTTACAACAAAATCCCAGAAAATATACAAAATTTGACTTAAGTACACAAAGTTCAAAAACTTTATTAAACTAAGTTTGTGTAGAAAGGGTTATTTTAATATTAAGGAATTTATGGATGATAATAATCCCTGGGAAGGGTGATCGCTACCAAGCTATTTCTAATTTGTTTTGTGTTGGTTATTGTAACACGCGTGATTGTAAGCTCTTATTTGAAAAAAGCTAGTCCCGTTGGGTTTCTTGCTGGTTCTTCCCAGGACAGAGGTTTTTTTATGCGAACCAGTGGTAAACGAAAAAAATGTACCTTCAATATGTGTTATTTATAATCTATATGGAATAAACAAGTTTCTGTTTCTATTTCTGTTATGAGAGCTTACTGTGCTTAATTTTGTGATTTTTGACTTTGCTTTAACTTTTTGGATTGTTTTTTTTATAATAACATTTTGTACGTGGTAGAGCCATGCTAAATCAATATTATAGTTGTAGCACGAATGGGTTATCTCAACCAGAGCAGGACAACGCTCTTGCATAATACCAGCGTAAAATAGCAGCGTAATGCTGCTGTGTTTCGTATGGTGAGTGTAGAGAACCGGAGACCCTTTTTACTGGAAATGAGGCATTCCATCTTAGTCCTCAAGGATGACAACGCATTTGCATTTTGATTCTTAATTGAGGATAAATGTGTATGTCTATGGGCCATAGCATCCACTTACCATCAGGTGGACTGTGTGCTCGTTTGTCACCCAATGCTATAAAAAAATTCGTTGAAACATGTGCCCATGTCACAAAGAATGATTGGGCAAAAGCGGTAGAAAAAACCAAAAAATTTAATATGACTGAAAGAGATATTAATTTTGACTGCATTATTGAAAGTCAAATAATAATTAATATAAAAAACGACATCTCCACTAGTTGTACTGAAAGTGATTGAATACATTTATTTTTACTCTAGTTTCAATCTTAAATTTTTATAACTGTGCCTCTAGAAATAAGTGGTAACAACAAATACGAAAAAACTGATACATCTTGTGTTTTAAATTATCCGTTTTTAATTTATTCTGGTATTATTAAAACAAAACTGTAAATGATTATCAACTCTAAATAATCGATATTGATTTTTATAAGAATCGAATATTGTACGTTCCAATTTTTTGGTTGGCGTGCTTGGTGCATTAAGTCTGACAGCTGTCAAAATGTATTTCTTAGATTTAGTTGACTATAAGCTTTGAATTGTGTATGATGATTTTTTCCAGACTTCGATACACCATAAGCTTGATTAGATAACACATAATTAATTATACTCAAATGACATAAGTACGCCCCAACTTTAAATAGAGAATTTTAACCAATAGGCCATAATCTTGATAAGATAACACAAAGTAAATTATTTTATTGATATCTGTAATGGTGACTTAAGTAGACGCTTAATAATTCGCCATTGTCCTTTTTATGTTAAAGAAATTTTTAGTAGCAGCTTCGAGTCAAGAGGTTAGCTGTGTTTCATCCTCTCGGAAAATGACGTTAAGCCATTAGTCAGGACAAATCAGGTCATCCTGAATGTCAGGACAGCCCGATATATCTGCAGTTGTGATGGATTACCGTCCCATCGGATTATAAGAGTGAGGGAATAAAGAGTGTAGTTGTGCTAATGCATACAGTCGGCACTATGGTCCTGTCCTGCGCAGGTGGCTAGTATTCGTTAAGATTGCCTGGTGTTGGTGGACATTATTGTGAAGGTAGTCAAAATCCGCTGGGAAGATTTATATTACTAAGTGAAACTAAGTTTAAAGATTTTATCGTGCTTAATTTTAACTTTTAACTTCCGAAGTTTCGGGCGCTTTACAGCACCCATGGTCATGGCGGGGTAGAGATGTTTGATGTTCTGATGTCATAGTTAACGAAGGTTACCTTGAACTATTTCATATTAAACTGTATAGAATAAGGGTGATATTGAGCACACAGTTCACCTGATGGTAAGTGGATTCTGTGACTCACAGACATTCGTATTTATCCTCAAATAAGATTGAAATTGCAGATATGTTGTCACCCCTGAGAACTAAGATAAAATGCCTTGTTTCCAGTAAATGATGAATGCTCCCGTGCTTTACATTCACCATAGCATTAAGCTGTTGTTTTGCACTGGTACTCTCTCAGACTGTGGTCCTACTCCCATTCGTGCTGTAATGTTGGGAGGTTCGGGGAATAAATGATAATATGTCTAGTGGTCTTGACTGTAGATTTATTACTAAATCTCTCTCCTATTCTATCCTACATATATATAAGCACACACTACAGTGCTACAACTATAATATAGCTGTGTCGTGGCTCTACGGTTTGTAGTGAAAGGAATATCGTTTACAGTACTGCCTTGTTGGTCTAGTGGTAGTAGCAGTGCGACTGCTGATCATGAGGTCCTGGGTTAAAATCCCGGGTCGGGCCAAAAAATTAACTATTGAGTTTTTCCGTGAAGAAATTCTCAGTAGTTGCCCGGAGTCAGAAAGTTGGCGGTGTCTCACCCCCGTGCCTCTGAAAGCACGTAAAGCCTTTGGTCCTGCGCCTGATCTCTCTCCGGTTGTGTCGGTTTACCGTCCCATCGGATTATGAGAGTGAGGGAATAGAGAGTGCACCTGTGCTTGCGCATACACTTGGGCACTATAATCCTGTCCCGCGCCGATGGCTAGCCTCCGTTGAGGCAGACCGCCGTGGCCGGAATTCGGTCTGGAGGACATTATCGTTTACAGTTCGCCGTCGAAGTTGGTGAGCGGTGTGGTGACGGGCGGTGGCGGCGGGGTGGCGTACTGCGCGGGCGTGAGCGCGGGCACGCCGGGCTGGGAGGACGTGCCGGCGGGCGCGCCGGGCCCGGGCTCGGGCTCCACCACCATGTCGGCGTCCTCTGAGCCGCCACACGACGAGCCCGAGCCGCAGTGCCCGCCGCACCGTCCGCCGCCAGACCTCTCGCCCAGGAAGAAGCCCAGGAAACAGATGTAACCATTTTTCTTTTTTTTTTTAATTTATTCACTAGATGTCTCCGTGACGCATTGGCTTAGCTATGAGTTTGGCAGCGCAGTATTTGTTTTAGAGAAGTAGCAGCGCCGTATTTTTTGAAAACATTTTTACAGAAGATAAAGCCTTTATAACCGGCGTTGTTGTACTTACATATTAGCCTGACTAGGTATATTAGCCTGACTACAATAAAACAGACACTCTAATAGTTTATTCCTGCACACAAGTTTATTTATTTACTAACACAACACTTTCAATTCAGTATTACTTACTATTACTATTATATTATATACTATTATTATTTTGCAATTACTATATTTTGCGGAGAAATTAGGGCGAGCGTGGTGTGCGAGCTCCCGCAGTGAATACATATCATAACTAACTAACTTGACCGGTAAAGTAGGCACAAGTACTTCGATACAAAAAAATATTGTTAAGGGTACACTAGTCGCTTATTCTTCCATAGAAATGTAGTCCGGCGATTACTCCACTGTTTGATGGTGTACGTTTAAAATAAAAAATGATTTCAATTTGTCTCATAATTATCTAGCCCTGTATGGAAACAAAAAAGTAAAAAAAGAGTATGTTTAGAAGTTATAAGCGTCGAAAATTCCGAATTTCAACACTAGTTCACACACATATTTAGGCGGAAATAAATGAAGAACGAAAATTGCAAAACAGTTACCATACAGGAATAGATTAGTTGTTCAAAAATGCAAATAATTTTATTTTAAACAGATACATTCAATAGATTTTTCGTGACATCCAGACTACCAAAGGTCTGTTTATAAAATTTCGCGCGCCCGTTTTTGTTATAAAACATCTTGCCTTTCGCTACAAATTGTTTCCCCGATCAGTGGGACGGACGGAGGGGGGGGCGCAGCGTGCACCCACACAACATACTCACTAGGTTAGCCGCTGCTATCTATTTATGGTTGTAATACCTACATATCTACATCTTTATTTAGAAAAAATGCTTCCTTTTGTTCGTGTCCATTGCTAAAGCCGGGATGAATATAGCTGCTAAAATGGGCACATAAGTTTGTTGAAGCACATTTAGTTAAAATTGAAAACAGGTAAGTACATAATAATGAACTTTCGATACAGGTAGTACATTAGGTACTTAACTACTTTAATTTGCTAACTAACGAAAACATCTCATAGGTAGATAAGCACGATTATCGAAAATCTTAAAATTGTCTATTAATTTAATTAGAATAGGTAATTTTTAGATTTTCGATAATCGTGCTTACGTATAGAAATCTCATATCCTAATATACCTAATGTAATTTATGTAAGTACATAATAATCTAAGAAGGGCAGTCAATGATATATAAGAGAGAAGATAATGTGTTTTGTAAGTTGTTTTTTTTTTTAAAACACTTTAACACAACAAAAACATGAAACTGAGAAGAAGCACCCGATCTGCCGAAACAAACTCAGAGAGGTCAGTCCAGATATTACATTGGTCATGTCATACGAGAACCAGGCTAATATGGTCCTTTGAAGAAAGAATCATACAGATGTGAGTGGACAACTTAGTACTTTTTAGAATTCCGTACCCGAAGGGTAACCAGCAGGGCCTTATTACGGAGCCTCCGCTGTCCGTGTATCAGTCTGTCAGCGGGCTGTATCTCATGATCCGTAATAGGTAGATGGTTGTAATTTTTACAGAACGTGTATTTCTGTTGCCGCTATAACAGAAAGTGGTAAAAATAAATTTGAAATGAAAGGATTTTCTACCAGAAAAAGAAACGTGTATTTTGGCTTTTTTGATTGATAGTAATATGTATAGGTATTTAAATCTTGTAATCTCGGAAGCTCGGAAGTCCGATTCGCACTTGGAAAAATATTTGTTTATAACCTTACCTCAGACATACTCATATTCTTTTATATATAATTTACTATACTACTATATAAGCTACTACTAAATAAAATAGTAATAGCTTTGCTATGGTATTATAGTATATTTTGGATTAGATTTAATTTATTACAGAATAATACGAACTATATAAAAACTAAGGAGCGCATCAACCTACCTTAGATATTGGGTTATGAATACAGATAAGTACACATTGGATTTAGTTTCTAAGTTGTATCTACATATTTTATAGCCTTCGTTATGAATAGCATTAGCAGGCCAAGCCCAGCCTACAAACGTTTCATAACGAATCTCTTTCTACAATCGCGCCTTTTATTTGTTTGGACTGACCACCTGACTCGTTCAGTGATGCCATTCCCATACAGTGTTTAGTTTTCAACTAGCGTTATCTATTATAAAATAAATCAAAATTTTATTCATATTTCGCTAATTGTGTCTGTACTGTGAATTTGATTTACAATCGATCTCTAAATTGTAGTTTTCTTCTAATTACTTACCTTGCCTAGACGTGTTCTTTGGACTTCTGTAAGGAAGTCTGTGCTGTTAGTATTCCGTTTATATACGTTACTAATTTGATAGACGTTTGTGCTTGTCCCTGCAGTGACACAATTCCTATTGTTGATAACTTTCTAAGTACTAAGAGAATATTTCAAACCGCTATTGAACACAAACAATCAATAAACAATTTACAAACTAACATTTTTTATTTATTTAATTAACCTATATAAAAGCCCTACTCACATTAAAATCGCGCTGTCGAAAAAGCAGTTATCCTGACACTGGCTGACATATATTTCGGGGAGTTGCCTGTGGGCTATTATAGCTAACTAGCTATGGAAAGTAAATACCTATTTAGAATACATAGTACCTACAGTAATATTTGCATAACCTACAGTAAAATACAGAAACATAAAGAAAACATAATTATGTCTTGTCTATAATCTTTTTTGTGTTTATTTTAGAAATTGTTAAGTTAATAAGTTTAATAAGTTTAATAAGTTTTTTATGTTACCGTTTTTAGTTGAGAGTTATGTCCCTTTAGTGGGTACAGGCGTGATATTATATTGTGTGATTGTGTAAAGAATGCTTAGATAGGCGATAGCAGCAATCGCGGTTGATTTGCTGTCATTTATTGAAGAGTGCCCCCGATTTCTCCAAGATCCCATCATCAGATCCGACAACTATTTGTAGGCCATACAAATATTTGTTCCGTGCGGGATTCGAACCCGCGGCGCCCAGCGCAGCCTCATTGCTAAGCCACTGCGATACGGAGCTCAAATTGCCGTTTGAGTTTATGTTATTATTCAAAAATGAATCGCATAGGTAGGTACGCGATGACGCCGTCTGCATTGCGTCACTCGAGTGCGTATGTGTGTGCGCACTAGCTTCTTACTGCTCATCACAGCATCTATCCCTTTCGCACGTGATGTCGGCTGAGATAGCATGCATTTTTACCCCGCCCTCCACTTAGTTCGTGCCATCGACTAGAGCAACCTTAACAATAAATTGGACGATTCATATGGAAAAGTTAATAAGTAGGATTTCTTAAATGATTAATAATTAAATTTTACATTTAGCTGTTGAATTTATACCAAAAATATTTTTATATAAAATATTATTTATATATAAAATGAATTTACATTAACATAAAAATTTTTTTAATACACACCACCTATGCCACAGCCTTTATAAGTAAAATTGCAAACAAAAAAATTGTTTAAAACTTTTTATATCTCTTATTGTTTACGAGATAACCAAAAACCATTTCTTTAGTTTCCCAATTTCACAAAAAAATTAGTTAATAAAATGCAGCCTAAATCACTCTTGATAATCCTGATAGGAAAAATAAAGATACTGTCTGATATCTGCACTTACAAACACTCAATTGAATAAGAACAGAGATAAATATAAAAAACCATAATATTACTTAATTTTTTTTAATAATGTAAAATGTACAGAATAATTATCGATTTTATATTTTTAAGATACTTGCGAAAATGAGAATGGGGACTGTTCTAATTTTAATACTTGCCACAGGCAGACTTTGTTCAGCCTTTTTCGACGACAATTTGTCATGTCCTATTAAAAATCCTTAAATTCGCAAAAAAAATTATGGGCAAAAAACTATCCTGTCTCTGAAGTTGGACCAAACTGCACACGGTGTGCAAATTTGATTAAAATCGGTTAATTAGTTTAGGAGTCCATCGCGGACAGACAACGTAACACGTAATTTATACAATATGTAACGTAATTAACGCACACCCTCAGACACCCCAATTAGTATATTATGTTATAATCATAATACATACACTGAATTTTAGTTAAACATTTTTATTTATCAAATTAGTCATACTAATTCCGGAAGAATGTTGTGGTCACAGTACAAATCCACGAACGCAAAGACTTTAACGTGCTTGAAATAAAGTTCATTTTTCTTTATTTTTATTAAATGACAGAATTAGTATAATACTGATATTACTACCTTAAGTTACGGTCCATTTCAGTTTGTTTTGACTGTACAGATTTAGTGTGACTGTAATTTACGTAGTTTTAATTATTTTTGGGATAAAAAATTACCTATATTAAAAATGATAGGAATCGATTCAGTAAAAGATTCTGAACAAACTACTTTCTCAAAGTGCGTTAATTATGTTACGTGTTGTATATATTAAGATTTGGCTTCTTTGCAGGTTGAGTAATGAAGTGCGGCAGTGCGAGTTTACAGCAGAAGATGCACCACCTACGCCGCCTACTCCAGTAAATCCTATGCCTAAACGTAAGTTACAATACAGAGTTTGTGAGGTCAAAGTTTCCTGAATGAAAGCGGTTGAATTGATATCGCAGTTTGTTTGTTAGTAGTGCTAGCTCCATATATGTTATTGTATAACATTCCATTTGAAACACATTGTTTTTTTGTCAGATGTAATATTCAAAAATGATAATTTAATTTTTATTAGAGCAAATGGTTATAAATATAACAGAAAAAACAAAATCTGAAGAAACAAATTGAAGAATTGATTTTTTAAAAGGAATAAAAATATCTAACATATATTTACATATAAACGTGAGATTCGACGCACGCTACTTGCACAATGCTGTAAGTCGTGGGTGCCGCAGTAAGCGTGGAGACGAGTAGTTACATATCACGTTTAACGGTGTAACACGAACGTGACGTTTTACAATGAGATTTCTTTTATATTGCTATTTTTTCACAGAAGAAGGGAGACAATCTACCATACAGTCCACCTGATAGTAATAATATTATCCTCCAGACCGAATTTCGGCCACGGCGGCCTGCTGCAACAGAGGCTAGCCATCACCGCAGGACAGGATTATAGTGCCCAAGTGTATGCGCAAGCACAGGTGCACTCTATTCCCTCACTCTCATAACCCGATGGGACAGTAAACTGACACGACCAGAGAGAGATCAGGCGCAGGACCAACGGCTTTACGTGCTTTCCGAGGCACGGGGGTGAGACACCGCCAACTTCCTGACTCCGGGCAGCTACTGAGAATTTCTTGACAGAAAAACTCAATAATTGATTTTTTGGCCCGACCCGGGATTGGAACCCAGGACCTCATGATCAGTAGTCGCACAACTACAACCACTAGACCAACGAAACAGTCCAAGCCTACCTGATGGTAAGTGGATACTGTGCTGCTTATACAGATGCGTTGTCATTTCCTGAAGACCTAGATGGATTGCCTTGTTTTTAATTTTCAGGTTTCTGGTTCTCTACACTCGCCATACGAAACAGCAGTGTGAAGAAGTTTTTAAAACCAAATATTACAAAGGATATTTTTTTTTATTATTTCGCACTTTAGCCAAGTACAACCGAGAAAATTTTATATGTGGTAGAACCATGCCGCAGCTATTTTACGGATGAAGCATAAATGGGTTGGCTTGACCGTGTTAGGACTCTTACAGAATACTAGCGTATAATAGCAGCTCAATTCTGTTGCGTTTCATATGGTGAGTGTAGAGATCTGGTAGGTAGTGTTTGAGTATTTGGGAATTATTGTATTAACAATTGAAATTAAAAAAAAATACTTTTTTAAATTTACAACGCTTTTTTTTTTTAATAATATTCTTATATTTTCATCCGAATCAGAGCTATATTCAAAATTTTAAGTTTTCAGCTCAGCAATTTTTTTTATTTAAATTCCACTGGTTAAATCATTAAATACCTTCCGGAATGACAGGCATATTGTGGAAGTGACTTAATAAAAACGTGGTAAAATAGTGAACATGTCGGTGACGCGGGTGCAGTACATTAGACATGTGTCAATTGTCAGTGATTCGTTCATTTCACCAATCAAAGTATTAATGATTGCAATGCATTTTTTGAATGCTTCAGATTAAATGATTGACAGGATCTACGACCAATGAGTATAGTAGTGTCCGACGATCATCATAATCGAGCTGGTCTCAGTTCACAGAATCTGAATGATCGATCCGAATTACCCGGTTCGTAAGACGAATGAATATTTGAGTGATGGGGTGACTAGAAGTGAATGAGTGTGCCATGTACCTGCCAAGTGTGGCAACTACGGTAAATATAAAGGACGGTTATTCTATGGGGAGGTCATTTCTTCATGGCAAAACCACGCTGCGGCTACATTATGGTTGTAGCAGGTTGGGTCGGCTCGATCGGGGTAGCACCACGCTTTCACAGAATACCAGCGTAAAATTGCAGCTTTAATGCTGCTGTGTTTAGTATAGTGAGTGTAGAAAACCGGAGACCCTATTTACTGGAAATGAGGCATTCCATCTTAGTCCTCAGGGGAGACAACGCATTTGCATTTTGATTATTAAATGAGGATAAGTGTAGATGTCTATGGGCCACAGCATCCATTTACCCTCAGGTGGACTGTGTGCTCGCATTTGCAATCGAGAAACAAAGGAAGTATTAAATTAAGATTATCCAATTCAATCTTGCCATAGAAGATGAGAATTGGAAGCAAACGCAAAAAAGGGCGAAAACAATGACTTTCAATCGACCCCCAACCTATAAGGTTTCCTGGCCTAAATTCGGTGCATGTGTGGTGGCAGGCGCGACGCTGGGCTACGTGTGCGGCTGGCGCGGCACGGCGCTGCACTTCGTGCGGCCAGCGGACGTGCGGCGCCGCGAACCGCGCGCGCGTGACATCCTGGCCATCGCCAGTCAGCGCCATGTGCTCACCAGCGCCGAGGGCTGGAAGCTGCACCACCTCACCGCGCAGATGGACGACCTGGTACCCACCATAACGCTAACGATCTACTGTACTAGTGCACTAACATCGCCAGCCAGTGCTACGTGACCACCAGCGCCGAGGGCTAGAAGCTGCAACACCTCATCGCGCTGATGAACGACCTGGTACCCACCATAACGCTAACGATCTACTGTACTAGTGCTCTAACATCGCTAGCCAGCGCCACGTGATCACCAGCGCCGAGGGCTGGAAGCTGCAACACCTCACCGCGCTGATGAACGACCTGGTACCCACCATAACGCTAACGATCTACTGTACTAGTGCTCTAACATCGCTAGCCAGCGCCACGTGATCACCAGCGCCGAGGGCTGGAAGCTGCGCCATCTCACCGCGCAGATGGAAGACCTGGTACCCACCATAACGCTAACGATCTACTGTATTAGTGCTCTAACATCGCTAGCCAGCGCCACGTGCTCACCAGCGCCGAGGGCTGGAAGCTGCACCACCTCACCGCGCAGATGGACGACCTGGTACCCACCATAACGCTAACGATCTACTGTATAGTACTCTAACATTGCTAGCCAGCGCCACGTGCTCACCAACGCCGAGGGCTGGAAGCTACACCACCTCACCGCGCAGATGGACGACCTGGTACCCACCATAACGCTAACGATCTACTGTATAGTACTCTAATACATCGCTAGCCAGCGCCACGTGCTCACCAACGCCGATGGCTGGAAGCTACACCACCTCACCGCGCAGACGAACGACCTGGAACCCACCATAACGCTAACGATCTACTGTATAGTACTCTAACATCGCTAGCCAGCGCCACGTGCTCACCAACGCAGAGGGCTGTAAGCTACACCACCTCACCGCGCAGATGGACGACCGGGTACCCACCATAACGCTAACGATCTACTGTATAGTACTCTTACATCGCTAGCCAGCGCCACGTGCTCACCAACGCCGAGGGCTGGAAGCTACACCACCTCACCGCGCAGATGGACGACCTGCTACCCACCATAACGCTAACGATCTACTGTACTAGTGCTCTAACATCGCCAACCAGCCCACGTGCTCACCAGCGCCGAGGGCTAGAAGCTGCACCACCTCACCGCGCAGATGGACGACCTGGTACCCACCATAACGCTAACCATCTACTGTTAGTACTCTAACATTACTAGCCAGCGCCACGTGCTCACCAACGCCGAGGGCTGGAAGCTACACCACCTCACCGCGCAGATGGACGACCTGCTACCCACCATAACGCTAACGATCTACTGTACTAGTGCTCTAACATCGCCAACCAGCCCACGTGCTCACCAGCGCCGAGGGCTGGAAGCTGCACCACGTAAGTGGCACTGCAGCCGATCGTAACTTCCAGATCTCGCTATTTAGAACCGAAGTGAACTTATTTGATATGCAGTGTCATGGTCATTTAAAAGTTGCGTTTGATATAAAGTTATTTAAGTTTTTTCACAAATCCAATAATTAATATTGTGACAACTCGACTTGACTTTGGTAGTATATAGTACATTGTTTTAAAGGCACGGCGTCAAAGTTATATGTTAAAATGTTTTTAACCATGACTTAATTTAACTTTTTTTTTACTAAACTCACAATATTAATTATTGGATTTGTGGCTGCAATCAATAGCATAGATATTTAAGATTACATTTAAAATACCCTTAAAAATTTGTGATCACAGTACCTAAATATATGATCTAGGGTGTTGATTTTCAACTTTTTCAAAAGTATACCTGACACACCACGCTGAACCTAGGAGCCACGCTGCAGCTATATTATTGTTGTAGCACGAAGGCAATGGCTGCGTTTGGCAGAAAAAAGCGCTAGCAAGCGCTTGTAAGCAAAATGGCGATCGTAAGCGGTAAGCGCTGTCAAATCGTAAGTAGCTATTTTCCTCTAGGACACGAAGTTAGTTTTAACCGGGGAACCTAACCTAGTTTAAATATATGTTTGTAAAATATTCATATTAAAAACTTACCAATCATGAATTTTTAATAACATGTATATGTTTATTCATGTCATTATATTACTTAAAACTAATATTGCACAAAACAACTTATAAACTCTAATTCAAAACAAACAAATTAAATAAGCAAAATGGCGGATTGTGTCAGCGCTACTGAAGTAGCAATCGTGTCCTGGCCGAAAATTATTTCAGCGCTAGTAAGCGCTTGCTAGCACTTTTTTCTGCCAAACGCACCCAATGACCACGCTCTCAGAATACCAGCGTAAAATAGCAACTTAATACTGCTGTGTTTCGTATGGTGAGTGTAGAGATCCGGAGACCCTTTTTTACTGGTTACGAGGCATTCCGTCTTAGTCCTTAGGGAGTGACAACGCATCTGCGATTTGACTCTTAATCAAAGAAAAAAAAAGAAAAAAATAAAAGAGGATAAATGTAGATTTCTATGGGCCACAGCTCCACTCATCAGCAAATGGACTGTGTACTCGTTTGTCACCCTTATTCTACAAAAAAAAACCTGGTAACATGATTTTTTTTTTGCTAGAACTGTTACAACCTAACTTATCACTCCGTACCCCCTTGACGTTGAGTTTCAGGACAACCTGTATATATATAAATAAATTCAAAATAATGCTTCAGCGCTGTGCTCTTAACTTTTTACACATTTCTGACTTTTAAATCCCCCCTACTTTTAGAGATATCTGTAGTTTTGTTTATCTATACTAAATCTAAATTATATATCTTACCTAGTTTAAAAAGCACCACCTCCCTTCCAAAGATACAAAGTAATACATGATTCTATTAATTACTTTTAATTTGCTAAATAATCGAAACCTCTAAATTAATGCCTTTTGCTCACTAAAGGTTCTGATTGACCAGCGAGCCATAAGCTTATGGTAAAGATAACGGCGGTTTTACTGGAGGCTCGTCTTATTTGATACTCTGACGAGCAAGGAGGTTCTTTAAAGTGACGAGCCACGAAACTGTCTTGCTACTCTCAAGCTCGCCCGTCGTTTTAGGCCTTAATGATTATATGGGTAACCTATAAAATTAGATTAGCTAATTATCATAAAGTCAAAAGCCCACTTCTCATTATTACTTGGTTCCAAAACTTTTTTGATACATTGTTATTACCTTATGGAATAAAAATGTATTTCTCTGTAGGTATCACTGGAAGCGGACGTTGGTGAACAGTTGGACGGCGTCTTGAGAGCCCTTGAAAATGCATCTGGGCGGGCTCTGACTGCGATAAAGCCCCATTCACATACTCTACTAGAACTCATTAAGGTAAATATTCTTATATTTAGAAGCCCTAAAATGTCCGAAGATTTTTAGAGTTGGCACAGGTGGGCTTCACAATACCAGAACCCTCATACGACGCTTCTATTTTTATCCTAATTGTTAGTTTCTTCTATTTGTTTCTAAATTTTTAAAATGCAGCTGTTATATGCTTATCTGTTTTGACCTCATATTTGCTTATGGCGTTCTGAACACAACTGACACACAAACTTCCAAAAACGGGATGGAAACTGTACGCATTTATATTTTCCAATTCATCACTAAAAGTACACACCACCAACTATGATATGTGTAATCCATCAATTAAATGTGATTGCATGATAAAATAATGGAGCATAAAATGTTATTGATGACAGCACAAAGTAGTCTTATAATTTAATATAAAATGATCGCAATTAAGAAAAAACAAGAATTGGCTGTTATTAATTTAGCTTTCTTTTCCGATATGATTGAGACAATTCAAAAAATATTTAAATGCATAACTCATAACTTTATTCCATTGGTATAACTGCACACAAACAACTAGAGTTTGTGCAATAAGAAATTCGACATGGGATTTCACACTATTTCGCAGGAGATGGACAGCCGCATCCTCCTGATAACAACAACACATAATAAAAAAAACGACGGGTTGCACTACGGGAGTGCCGGCAGGATTGAAAACTTGAATATTAACGTTGTGCATTTTTGATATTTTGGAATGGTTAGGGTTTTATAATTTTGCAAGATTTGCTTTAGGTATCAGTATAAAAGTACTATCATTTATATACAATATTTATTTATTGCGCTATCGTACACAAACATGACAATTTATAATAGCATAAACACTCACGCCTATCACCCAGAGGGGTAGGCAGATACCACGGACTTCCATTTGGCAAGATCCTGACATACCTCTTTCGCCTCCTTTACATCCATATATCTACGCATACATGCTAGTCGGTTAAGGGTACTTTTAACGTGGCCCATTTTCAAAATATCGCCAATTTGGTCGATAAACTTTTTTCTAGGGCGTCCGTTCCCGACTCTGCCGTTCACATTTCCCATATAAATTCGTTTTGTCACTCTTTCCTCATTCATTCTTTCTACATGACCAAACCACCGAAGCATTCCTTTCTTAATCCTGGTCACAACATCATCTTGCATACCACATTTATCTCTTATCATGAAATTTCTCACCCTGTCATTCAGATTCAACCCTAGCATACTTCTTAAAGACCGCATTTCTACAGCATTTATTCTACTTTCGTGCTTCTTCTGCCACACCCAGCTTTCACTGCCATACATTAAAGTAGGGACTAACACAGCATTATGAATTACCATACGTGCCTTTTTTTGATACATTCTGGTTCTTCACAATAGAGTGTAGTGCCCCATTCACTCTATTCCCTGCATTTACTCGTCGTTCTATATCCTTATCATATCTACCATCCCTGCTAAAACACATCCCAAATACACAAACTCATCCACTTGCTCAATTAACTCTCCTTCTATTCTTATTTCACATACCGTTTTGCTTTCCTCTCTTTCAAAAACCATCACTTTCGTCTTACTTGCGTTCACTTTCATTCCCCTTTCTTTTAATGCCCAGTTCATTAATGTAACCATCATTTGCAACTCAGCCGCCGATGACGCAAAATATGACTTGATCGGCATACAAAAGGCATTTGACGGTTAACTCGCCCATTCTTAACCCACATTCTTCATCTTTCAAAGTTTGCAAACACCTATCCATAAATAGGTTGAACAGCCAAAGGGAAGGCAACCCCTGTCTGACACCCTTTCGGATGCCAAACCAGTCCGAGTAGACCCCATTGATCCTGACACAAGCACTAGAATCCCTATAAAGAGACCTCAATGCCTGTATCAAACCAGCGCTCAACCCATATGAGTTCAGTGTTTGCCATAACACATTCCTGTCCACTCTGTCATAAGCCTTTTCCAAGTCCATGAACGCACAAGAAACTTTCTGGTTTTTAGCCAAAAACTTCTCCGCAATCATGGGCATGGAAAAGACTTGATCTGTACACCCCATTCCCTTTCTAAAAACCGCTTGCACATCCCAAATTTTTCCATCAGTGTCTTTCATAACTCTTTCAATTAACACCTTAGCATACAGTTTACCCACAATACTAAGCAAGCTGATACCACGGTAGTTTTTGCAGTCCTGCTGTGACCCTTTTCCTTTATATATTGGTACTATAACTGCTTTACACCAGTCATCCGGTACCCGTTTTAATTCCCAACATAAATTAAACAAGGTGTACAGCAGGCCTGCCACCACTCCCTCTCCAGCCCTTAGCATCTCGAGTGATACTCTATCATATCCAGCTGCCTTACCTGCTTTCATGCTTTTCATTGCTTTCATTATTTCATCTACACTTATCTCCATACCCCTTTCCACTTCTTTCGGAATTTCCTGTTCATTTAATTCAGACAACTCTTCACTCATAAACACGCTTTCAAAGTATTCCTTCCATCTGTTTAAATTCGAAACTTCATCATTCAGAATACATCCATTCTCGTCTCTTATAGCGTTAATTATAGGCTGTTTTTTTCCCCTCGCAGTTCTTACGAGTTTCCAGAACATTTTTATATTAGCCTGGAAATTATCAGATATCCTTCTATCATTCTTATCCGTTCTTTCTTTCTTTCTTTTTCCTTTCAACTACTTCTTTTACTCTCTTATTTAGACGTCTAAATTCTGCCTTTTTTCTTTCAATCTCATCATTCATACCACCAGAATTACCAGTTTTAGTTGCTAGTAAATCTAACCATGCTTTCTTCTTTGATTCAACTTCCAACCGCACCTCATCATCCCACCACAACGTATTCCTTGACAATTAATATTACATTAAAAAGTTTATCTCGCAGAATAATTAACTTCCATCCATAATTTCGACGACGTCTTACGAATTTTCGATCAGGTCACGTGTCCTGACGCGAGTTTAACATTTTTTACCCATTACAAAAAAAGTGTACAACGCCGCTAAAGAAGTTTTTACTTCAAAAACACCGGTTGCCAACCCGACTGCCAAGCAACTATAGTTCATAAAAGATAGCTTGATCTCTGCGACAGCTGTCAGTAAAATCACGCCTATGAAGTCCTGAATTTCTTAGTAGTACAGACAGTACCTGTCAATGTTATACTTTGTGGGCATGCACTAACCAGGTCGTGCATGCCCATAAAGTATGACATTGACAGGTACTGTCTGTACTACTAAGAAATTCAGGACTTCATAGGCGTGATTTTACTGACAGCTGTCGCAGAGATCAAGCTATCTTTTATGAACCATAAGACGAATATCCCCCCAATGAGGCAATCTATGATGAAAGAAAACTCACGCACACAAGCGTCACTGTTTCATTGTGACGTGTGTGTGTGTGCATTTAAGTAGTACATCTTATCTCGTAAGAATGAAATCGTATTTAATCGGGACCGTCTAGTGACGGTGTAAGAATAACCACAACCTCGCAATATCCGTGGGTGTCGTAAGAAGCGACAGAGGTAAACAAAGACGATGGACAGCAGTGTCTTATATTATATATATATATATATATATATATATATATATATATATATATATATATATAAAAAAAAAATATATATATATACAACATGTAACATAATTAACGCACTTTGAGAAAGTAGTTTGTTCAGAATCGTTTACTGAATCGATTCCTATCATTTTTAATATAGGTAATTTTTTATCCCAAAAATAATTATAACTACGTAAATTACAGCCACACTAAACCTGTACAGTCAAAACAAACTGAAGTGGACCGTAACCTAAGGCAATAAAACTTTTAAGAGTGCAGTTTTATTTGTATTATTACTAATTTTGTCATTCAATAAAAATAAAGAAAAATGAACTTTATTTCAAGCATGTTAAAGTCTTTGCGTTCGTGGGTTTGTACTGTGACCACAACATTCTTCCGGAATTAGTATGACTAATTTGATAAATAATCAGTGCATAAAAATGTTTAACTAAAAATTCAGTGTATGTATTATGATTATAACATTATATACTAATTGGGGTGTCTGAGGGTGTGCGTCAATTACGTTACATATTGTATATATATTATATAGAATAAGGGTGACAAACGAGCACACAGTCCACCTGATGGTGAGTGGATGAAGTAGCCCATAGACATCTACATTTAACCTCGATTAAGAATCAAAACGCAGGTGCGTTGTCACCCCTGAGGACTAAGACGGAATGTCTCGTAACCAGTTAAAAAGGGTCTCCGGATCTCTACTCACCATACAAAACACAGAAGTATTAAGTTGCTGTTTTACAGTCTTCTTTTACCGTCTTCCTAATAACGACTAAAAATTAAAAACTGTGTTTGCCAACACGCGTGGCCACATATCCCACCTATGAGTTATATGGGAGGCCTGTTCAGCAATGTACTTTAGTAGGCTATAACGGTACGGTAACAGTAAATAGGCGTTTTAAGATTGATTTCTTTTTATATAAAAACATTCTTGTTGCAGGGTAACATTCAAAGAAGTAAGATTGTTTGTGAAGGTATACAAGAAGCACGCGAGGACATCCTTCGAGTATTTAAGCATAGAAATTTTGTGTCTGACATTTTAACCCGACAAGCAGACAAAAGGTGCTTCAGGAAGCATCGATCACAGTCGTAGCAAATAATAAAAGCCTTGCTATTATTTATAATAGAGGTTGCACTCTGTACGAAAGAATCGCATAGACACTTTAAAATAATGGCATCTGTGATGTGAGTGTAACTCTGACTTTATGATCTGTACATAGTGTAAAAAAATTTGGTAATTAACTAATTTTTATAAATATGTTTTAATAAAAAGAAAGAATACTACCTTAAATATGTTGTGTTTACTTTGTAATTATTTCTTAATGCAATAATAAAATGCAATTAGTAATTATTCTTTTACTTTTCTTGAGGTTTATTATATTGTTACGTGCGAGGTGAGTAAAATGCCAATGAGATTAGATTATCCACACACATTAAGTATACAATTACGCTAAGCTTCTTCGGTGAGGTCCTTTATAATTGCAGATGTCATAGGTCAAAATATCATATTCGCTTATGAAGTAGAGTTCACTTTCGCATTCCCGAAATAACTAAGTCTCCGATCGCCGGCACACGCTTTTATAGTCAATAAAAGATATGTAAAACTTTCTAGATCAATCTAAGTCATTCCACTCTTTCAAACGAAAAGTACTAGAATACTCGAGATTACATAATGACAATATCCAAAGGAGAAAAGACTAAGCGTGTGGACATAGGGTTGCTTATTGCTTGCATTAATAGAGGGCGCGTTATGCCTACACATTTTATTACTTCACGATGGCCGCTGGCTCTTATCGCCTCAGATGAAGTAAAAAAAGGTAGATATCGCACCTAGAACAAGAAAATGTAACCAATTTTATCTGGGGGCACGGTAGTGCCCCCACCAAGTCGAGCAAAAAAGCGGCACGGCCGTACCATCTTTTCTCGAAGCAATTCAGGCCATTTTCGACCCCCTATAACTTCGTAGTCAATTAATCTAGAAGCCTGAATTTTCAGTAACCGAGTAAGCATTGTATAAACATGGTATATTTCAAATTTCATTCAATTTGAACCAGTAGTTTAAGAATTGTAACAAGTCAAAGTTTCTTAATTTTGTCACTCACTGACTGACCGATCATCAAAACTCTAAGGCACTTTTAGCAGACATAGAAACTTCAAATTTAGAATACAATTAGTATGTAGTGTATAAATCAAGGAAAAACTAAAATATTTTTCAATTTCGGTCCAGTTTTCTAGATACACCAACTGCATTAATAACTTTGTAATCCCATATAAATATATAGAATTACAAAGTTAAATTTGCAGTGAATGAATCAGTGTACTTTATATGTATTACACTTGTACATAGGTACGTTTTTGGTACTCAAGAAGTAGAAGGTACCGGAAAGGTAAAAAATTAGGACTATCTTATATACAAAAAGAAATGAGATGCCATTAAAAACATAACTTGTAAAAAAACCAAGTCTCGCAACTCAGTTCTACTGTAAAAAGTTCCTACCTAAGACTCCTTATGTTTTAAGTTATTACGTAATTAGCTAACCTAACAACATTTTATAGTGACCATATCAATTTTAAAAGTCTTTTATATTTTAAATATATAAATTGACTTGGCCATCGCATGAAACCACAATGTATCTCACAAGAAATACATACTATATTAGATTGCTTAGTGCGATTGCCAAGTCAATCTATATATTTAAAATATAAAAGACTTTTAAAATTGATATGGTCACTATAAAATGTTGTTAGGTTAGCTAATTACGTAATAACTTAAAACATAAGGAGTCTTAGGTAGGAACTGAATAAATTAACCGACTTGGTATTACATGGATCTCACAACTTTTTACAGTAGAACTGAGTTGCGAGACTTGGTTTTTTTACAAGTTATGTTTTTAATGGCATTACTTTGTCTGAGTCAGAGAAGTGTTGCCACTTTTTTTAAAGTTCCTGATAATCGAGATACAATACTACAACTATAAGAGTAATATGCAATGCAAATGCAAAAGTTTATCTGTCTGTTTTAATAAATTTCAACAATTTGACAATTCAAAAAAAGATGAAGCACGTAGGCGTCTGTAGATCATTTAAAAGTCTTCTTGATAATTGTCCAGTGAGTATGTAAGCATCGATAAAATATACAACATATGTAATGTAAAATATATTTATTATAAAAAATAACTTAATATAAAAAAACTAGTTGGAAGAAAAAATAAAATTTCATGGAATTAAAAATGTACTTTTCTAAATAAAATAAAAAAATATTTTAGTAAATACAAAATAGCAGAAACTCCAGCCGGGGGCACAAAGGAGTGTTCTAATTTGTACCCCGGGTAGGAGAGATATGAAGTATCAGCCGGAGCGGACATCTGAATCTCGGTTAAAAAGAGCCGGGTGGTAGTGGACAGCATTAAGATTGAAATGAAGTGTCCTAATGTTGCAAAAATTCACGGATAGCGTGAAAGGGGTCGCCTTGGTCTTATTGCTCCGCTTGCTCCTGGCAGTTTTAGTCGCGAACAGAATTCCCCTCACCCCGCTCCCACCTCAGAATACGCGGAGCAGCCTAAACACCCACGCTCAGGAAGAGTAAAGTAGCTTGGTAGTAGATGCTCAGCGAGGGATTCTCCGTCACCAGGAGTAAGGATAACCTCTTGGTGTAGTTTTTATTTGATTCTTTGTCAAGGGGCGAGGGAATCTGGCCTCCAGCCCAAGCGAAACGCAGAGGTAAACCTCTACTTCACGCAGGTATTCTGTGAGGTCGTGGTACCACCCCGATTCAAGCTAGTCCATCCATGCGATATCAATAGCCGCTGCGTGGCTCTACCACTTGTCAAGTCAAGAGGATGGGTGCCATTTTGGTTCATTTCAGCTCAGTCTAATAGCAGCTACCCTTCATTTTTTTATAGGATAAAGTGACAAACAAGCATACAGTCCACCTGATGGTAAGTGGTTGTTGTGGCCCATAGACATCTACATATATCCTCTATTACGAATCAAAATGCAGATGCGTTGTCACCGTGAGTGTACTAAGGTGGAATACCTCGTTTCCAGTAAAAAGGGTCTCCGGTTTTCTCCACTCACCATACGAAACACAGCAGCATTAAGCTACTATTTTACGCTGGTATTCTATGAGAGCGTGGTCGTTCCCCGGTCGAGCCGACCCATTCGTACTATACCTATACTACTAATCGTATAACTGCAGCATAAGTACCATGTAAAAAATTCATGTCTTATTAAAATATTCGTTGGTAGCCTAAAAACTTGATAGTAAAATATTTTGTAAGTACTCAACAAATAAAACGGAAATTCTCGAGCGGGATACCGGTTTGATGGCGGGGCCGTGGGGGGGGGAGACTGATCTGTGCGGCCGACAGCCGCGCCGACGCGTCTCGACCCTTCTTGGTGAGCGACCCGTGTCATTCAGAGGTCGCGAGTTTTTACTAACAATTGCCCCCTCGAATAGACGGCCTCCATGTTGTTGTGTTTGGTCGTTAATATACGTGACAACGAGGCTTTTCTGCGTTTGATTGACTATTTTATCATTTATCGCTATTAATTTATGTCGACGAGTGACCTGTGTAGCTAATTAGAGTTCAACTAAATTAGTTAAGGTGTACGAAGGAATTTTGCTTTGTTGTGTGGAACGTTGAACTTTGTGATCTGGGTGTAGATCGAGCGAAATTAAAGTTCGTGCTAAGTGACGCCGAACTTGAGTTCCGATAGTGGTGAGCGTCTTGTGGAGCGGTCGGCGCACGTGGTGCTGCTATCTGATTGTATCGGTGACGTCAGGTTCCATTATACACAATTCTCACACACTACACATACACTACCATTTACTTGCCCCTGACGCCACCTTGTGATAGACCCTACACTTCTGGAATTCGGTAAGTTTTGTGTTTGCGTATCTAGCCGTCATAATTTAATTATCCATAGGTCATTAGACCCTCCCGTCTGTTACTCGTCGAATTGGGTTACTGTGGGCCCTAACTCAATCGACCTTTGTCGGGGTAACTCAGAGCCGTAACAATCAGTGACTTAAAAAATTAAATAATTACCTTGACTTCAATTTGATGTAACAATAACAAGTAATTAAAAAAAATACGCTGACTACATATATTTTTATAACTTAGCCTAAAATTAATTACCCAAATCTTGGACCATTAGAAATAAGAAATACTGGCAACATTCTCTCGTTACGTAATCACGAAACAGGAAATTGGCGGGAACGCCAAACGTGGCGGTCGATATAATAATTTTTACTGTTTTTCGTTAAAATATCCTGTGTAAATATGTTTAAAAAAAGTTTTAGTTATAAGTTTTAGTAAAACTTATTTTAGTCAGTGTAAATGTACATTGTGTTAATTATTAAAATGAATGAACCGGAGGACCCAGGTAGAAATCCGAAACGATCCAAAATTGTTCGTAAAAGATTTACGAAGTAATGTGGACCTGAAGTAGGCGGCGGTGAGGATGACTTTATTTCCTTTTTTAAGCCAGATTATCTGTGACTTTATCCTGAACATTGTACGAGGGCGGCACTGAAAATTTCGGGAATCAAGGAAGTGACACAACATTACTATTTAAAAATGTATTTATTGCTTTTCGAAGTATTCCCCGCGAAATTTCACACATTTTTCCATACGATGGAACCAATCATTGAAGCAATCATTCCATTCGGAAGTTGGGGTCTCCAAAACGGCTGTTTTGTAGGCGTCCACAGCTTCTGCAGGTGATGAAAATCTCTGTCCACGCAATTTATTCTTTATTTTAGGGAATGTATAGAAATTATTAGGGCTTAGGTCGGGGCTGTACGGCGGATGATCTAATAATTCTATGTTTTCTTGCTATAAAAACTCTTTTGTTCTGTGTGCGGTGTGAGAACTCGCATTGTCGTGATGGAGGATGATGCGGCGGTTGCAGTTCTCTTTACGGAGTTTAGAAACGACCTGTGGCAAACAAATGCTAGCATACTATTTTGCATTAACCGTTCTTTGTCCCTTAAGAGGAATAGTTGTAACATGACTGGTTTTGGAGACAAACGTGGCCACTATTTTTTTAGCAACACTCCGTGAACGAACAATTTTTGTTGGCTTTAAC